TGAAGTAAATCAGAAGCTTCAATTGGCATCTCTCAATTCCTACTTTGGTTATACGTCTACTTTTAGGTAGACGTTCGATACATTCGTTTCAACTTTATTATTTTATTAATTAAGTTATTTTATTTTTTTGTTATATTATCTTGCTTGTTTTTCATAATATTTAATTATTTTAAACTTGAACATGAATTCGGAAAGAAATAGTGGTAAAAGACCAATGTCGGAAGGAAAAAATAATAGGCGAGGAGAAAGTAGTTCTAGTTCTAAATATTTGCCTAGATATAGAGTTAATACTAATGATTATACTTATGTTGATGAAACTTATTTTATGTCACGGGACCTATTGAATTTAATTACGAAAATGAAGTAGATCATGAGACTTTAAATAGATGTTTTACTAATTTTGAGGAAGAATTAGATGAGGAAGTAGAAATAAATGAGGTAGATGATGAGACCCCTACCCTACTAGTCCGACTACCGAATTACCGGAACAAGATGAAGTCCCCTCTTTACCTATTTTTTCAAAGACCATTGTATGTGTTAAAAGATCTTTAATATGGAAATTTTTGGTATAAAATGAGGAAAAACTATTGTTACTTGCACGAAATGTAAATTGACCATGAAACATGTAACTATGGGTACACAAGGGAGAACAGGACAACTAAAACTACTGTTACTTGTACGAAATGTAAATTGATCATGAAACATGTAACTACGGGTACACAAGGGGGAACGGGACGACTAAGAACACATTTGAGAAAGTGTAATAAAGAATTTGCTCGCCTAGATGATATAGAAAGGGCTAATAGAAGTGGAATACCCATACCTGAAAATTCTATGGGAGTTGGAGGTTCTAATATGGTTCAAAGTGAATTAAATATGACTAACCCGGCTAGTTGAAGCACACACCGCACATATAGTAAAGAAAAAGATCGTAGAGAATTAGCTAAAATGGTTGCTGTTTGTGGTTTGCCTTTTTCATTTCCTTCACATCCTGGTTTTATTCAGTATATTCGGGAATTGTATAACCCAGATTATGAAGGTATTCCAAGAAGTACAATTAAAAGTGTCTTTTTAAATATCAAAAAGAATATTGTCATTTTCTTCGTTGTTTATTTGTTTATTATGATGGTAGATTATCTATTACTTCTGATATGGGACGTAGTCCTAATGGTAATGATTATTTTACCATTACTGTCCATTGGATTGACCATGAATGGAACATGCAAAAACGAATATTAGGGTATAAATATGTTGAAGAAACTAAAACTGGTTCTTATATAGCAATAAAAATAAGCTCTATTTTACAATTTTATGGAATATATGATAAAATAATGAGTGTCACTTTAAATAATGCTTCTAATAATTTAAAAACAATTGATTATTTAAAATGTAGACTTTGTCCAATTGATAATGATTCTTTTCATATTAAGTGTGTCGCACATGTGTATAATTTGATAGTAAAAGATAGTATTTCTCAATTTGGAATTTCTTGTGAAAAAATTAGACTTGCTTGTAATTGGATTTTTAAAGGTAAAGTAAAAGCTAGAATTACAGAATTTAAAAATCGTTATAAAAAATGTGGACTTGCAAATAGAAAAGTTCCAAAAGAAGTATGTACTAGATGAAATTTTTTATTTGAAATGCTTGAAGTTGCTTGTATTTATCAAAAGCCGGTACAATTAGTTTTTTAATGCTCATAATGCGGACCCGAATTTAAGAATTGACTATGAAGATTGGGAAAATACAAAAAGAATTTATTGAATTTTTAAGTGTTTTTTATAAAGCAACAAATGCTGCTTCTGGTCAATATTATCCAACTATTTCTTCTGTTTTAGTAAATATTTGTGCTATTTCATCTGATTTTGCAAAATATAGAGGAAAGATCGATTTGAAGATTCACTTACTTTTATGATTGAAAAATTCAAAAAATATTTTTTTCCTATTCCTCAAATCTATTTGACTGTTATTACTTACCCAAATTACAAATTAAAAGGTGTTGAAAGAATGGTTGAAAAGATTTATGCAAATTTAGAAATTAAAGATGATGAAACTCCTAGTGTTGAAGATTGTAAAAGTAGCATATATACAAAAGCTAGAGAGTTATATAATACATATAAAGCCATGGAAAAAAAATATCCCAATAGTTGAACCTCCATCTTGTAGGCCTAGAAGTGATGATACGGATGATTGGATGAATGATTATCTTGAGCTTGAATCCTCTACTAATAATAATTTTGATTTATATTTCAATCAGGCATGAAGAAGGACAACTTCAAGCTCAAACATTAGTATGGTGGAAGAATCGTGAAAATCAATTTCCGACCCCTGCTAAGGTTGTTCGAGACGTGCTAGCGATTCAAGCATCATCAGTCGCTTCAGAGCAAGCCTTTAGTGC